TGTTTGGAGGAGAAAGAATGCTGAGTTGCATCCAAAGAACACCATACCTACTGTGAAACACGGGGGTGGAAAAATCATGCTTTGGGGCTGTTTTTCTGCAAAGGGACCAGGACGACTGATCCGTGTAAAGGAAAGAATGAATGGGGCCATGTATCGTGAGATTTTGAGTGACAACCTCCTTCCACCAGCAAGGGCATTGAAGATGAAACGTGGCTGGGTCTTTCAGCATGACAATGATCCCAAACACACCGCCCGGGCAACGAAGGACTGGCTTCGTAAGAAGCATTTCAAGGTCCTGGAGTGGCCTAGCCAGTCTCCAGATCTCAACCCTATAGAAAATCTTTGGAGGGAGTTGAAAGTCCGTGTTGCCCAGCGACAGCCCCAAAACATCACTGCTCTCGAGGAGATCTGCATGGAGGAATGGGCCAACATACCAGCAACAGTGTGTGAAAACCTTGTGAAGACTTACAGAAAACGTTTGACCTCTGTCATTGCCAACAAAGGGTATATAACAAAGTATTGAGATGAACTTTTGTTATTGACCAAATACTTATTTTCCACCATAATTTGCAAATAAATTCTTTAAAAATCAGACAATGTGATTTTCTGGATTTTTTTTTTTCTCATTTTGTCTCTCATAGTTGAAGTATACCTAGGATGGAAATTACAGGCCTCTCTACTTTTTTTAAGTGGGAGAACTTGCACAATTGGTGGCTGACTAAATACTTTTTTGCCCCACTGTATGTCAACATGTATAGAAAGATGTCCATAAACATCTGGGAGTCTTACCTGGAGATGGCCTGGGAAGGTGACCGAATGTTTGTGGGAGCTGCAAAACTGAACCAGATCTCCCTGATGGTCAGCTTCATGCTGCTGGAGTCCGGAGGGGGGGGCATGAGGGGGAGGTCTTTCTTCAGGTCATCTGACTCCACTCCTTCGTCCTGCAGAGGACAAGAGAACAGGATTTAAAGGGTGGAGGTGGAGTGGGGGGGCTGCTGCTGGAGGAGCCACAACACATCACTGTCAGCCTGATTATAGCTTGGATTTGCCATCATGGCTTATTTTCAAGATCACAGTGAATATTTTCCAGTTTGATGACTTTAGCCTCCTGCTTCTCCTCGGATCAGACTTTATTGGAAGAAAAAAAAATGTTGAGTCAAATTGGAATCAAAGACTGCCAACAGGCAGTGAGTTGCAAATAAAATACGAAGAAACAAAGAAAAAACAGATGAGAAGATCAAATCAGACGGGCCGCATGTTGTGGAGTTTAGATTCTGTTTTGAATGGGTCGCCCCCACCTGAATTCTCTAAGACATATGAGAGCTTTTAAGCTTTTTTTAACACAGTTTGCAAACAGCTCGGATAGCACAGACCCCCAATGGTGCTTCCCTGGTGGTCCCATTTCACAAGTCGTTATTCCAACTTCAAAACGTTAAGATTAGAATTTAGATCACTTTTTAATGCCGGAGAGGAAATTCAGTTCAACGCACATAGGCCCGAAAATACACACATGCACATATAGGACCTTACACTCTGTATTTTTGTCCAACGAGAGAACCTTAGCCAAAAGACTGAGCTACAGCCGCCTCAAATGAGCTTCACGTCTTTAACAACATAGACAGTACAAAAAAGGAATGCTGTAGCTAGTAGGGTTGATACAAATAATCAAAATTCAACAAATGTACCAGTTACTACCAACAGGAAAACATCAGTGCTGTAACTGCAGCTATTTTGATGGACTCCCAAGGTAAATGGGTTCTTCCTTGGCCCGTGCTTCACCTTTTCACGAGAAAAATCAGGCCAGTAGTTTTTTTTTTATCATGCTGACAGTCAGACAAACAAACAAACCGAGCCAAGAACATAACCTTCCTATCGAGGTAATGAAGAAGAGATTGGCTTAAATAGGATTCAAAGTGAAAGTTTAAAGTCGCTGTCAGCAGAGCTTAAAAGCTTTAATGTGTCAGCCTTATCAAAATGAGGGAACAGACGGTGACAGTCGAACACCACAGTAACATTTCAGGAATTAACTGGTTTTGACCTTCCCAAGCACTTTTTGTGCGGGTCTGCCTAGTTTAAACATGGACAGTTGATTGTGCTAAAGCCGGTTAGCATGGTGGGCGGAACAACTGCTCTCCCCACTGAAATCTGGAGAAGGACACAGAGGATTCAGGGGTAAACCTAAAAGAGGAATGGTGAGATTTAGGTCCAGATTTATGGAGAAAAGGAGATATTTGCCATGTCTCCCCCCTCTCATCATGGGCAACTTAAGACTGGCTGATGGAATGGAGCAAACGGCGTAAGCTAGGAGTCAGATGGAATATCTAGAGTGTAATTTAATGTGTTTTACCGAAACATGGCTGCTCCAGAAAGTATCTGACGGGTCGACAAGCATTGCACCAAGAGCCTCAGCATGTCTTCACCATGAGCCTGAGTCTTCAACATGTCTTCATCATGAGTCTTCTGAGGGTCCCTGTGCCTTGGAACACCTCTTGCTTCATTCCTGCCTAAGACGCTGTGTCCCTTTGGCTTTTATTTTATTCTTATATGGTGCAACTGTCACAAAACGTAATCCCCCCCCCAGGGATTAAGAAAGTATTTGGATTCAGATTAACAGTAGAAGACTCAGCATTTCTCACCTGGTCATCTGAGTCAGAGTTTTCATTGGCATCGGAGGCGGGGCTGACGGCATCATTAGGGAGGTTGTCGTCGGAGACGTCGGTGCTGTACCCGCTGCCCGTCTGAGAGCCGGTGGACCCGTTGGACTTGGACATACCCGTTTTCCCCACAGTGTCTGAGCGGCCCATCACTCCGAAGGAGTTGTAAAGGATGGCTCCTGACTGACGGCCCCCTGCAACACAAAGCGTAAAACACTCACTAGTCTGGACTCTTCCTGCCTTTTGATACAACATATTTGTTATTGTTTTCATATCTCTACGTCTCTATTGATGCTTCTCTTACCTTTGACCGTGAGGTTCTCTATGCCGCATTCGAACATGATCCATCCCCATTTCTCAAGAGACGTGGCGGAACGTCCGAGATCGCCTGCTGTGTTCTGGGCGTCCGTTTCATCCACCATTGAGAACTCTTCCAATTCCTCCAGGCCAAAGAGCACTTTGGACTTCTCAAAAGGGATTGCTGTGATGGCGCATGTGCCAATGTCTACAGAAACAGAAAATAACCACATTATTAGGAGGTATCTAGTTAAATATTATCACCGAATAGTGGGAAGAACAAAGAACTTGAAACAATTAAAAATCTATTTATGAGAAAACAAAATGCCCGAAAAGGGTTTTAAATACCTTTGCTTGGTACAAAAGGTCAACTGAAGTATTTGTACAATTAATCAAAACTTTATTGAAATAGCAATATGGAGTAGTCCAATTTCCAAATCGAAGTACGATAAATATTTGGTAAAGGGAAAATACGTGAAAATATCCAAATTAAGTATTATGGATCTACCGACTGAGGTTTAGGGTTAAGAATCTTCTAAGTAATGTTTAAAAAATAGTCGTATATGTAGAATCATTTCGCAATGGCAAAATCAGTCAAAATGATCGAGTCAGCCATTTTTTTCCACCCCAAGTCAAGTGATGGCACTTTTTCACACACCCTAGGGGCAGCCATTACAGCTTGTTAACATTTAGGTACCTCTTGTTAAATGCCAGTGTACCACTTTAGGCACCACAAGGGATCAAACATGGCTGCCATCCTCCAGAACCAACCTGTGGAGTCGAGGCCTCTCAGTTGGCTGTGGATACGGTGGATGTTGAGCCTGGCGGCGATTTCTTTTCCTTTCTCGATGCCGGCGTTGGAGCGTAGCGAGCCCGAAGACTGCGGCTGCATCTTTGTGGCAGAGGCGTACTTCTCCAAATTGACGGACGGTCGGCCATGTTCTAAGGTGTTGGGTGTCTCCTCCACAATCCCCCTGAAAGGAGTAGGAAGACAATGTGCGTTAGCTTAGATGCCATCACATATGTCTGATTTTGTGAAGACAAGAAATGTACTGTTTTGTAGCCCAACCCAGAAAATAAAATCTGTGGCAAACACACATTATACTTGCATATTTTGTTCTGCAGGATATTCTTCACATATTAACATCACTTTTATTATAGTATAGTAAAGTATAGGCATGTAAGCAAAAATGCCATCTCCAGATTCCAGAAGTAAAAAGTCAACGTTAGGCTATACCAGACTACAAGACGCTGGCATGACTCCACGTCAACACATCTAAGCTAACAGTGAACTTGTGTTCTTATCAATTTGTTCAGCGGGATAATCTCCACATGTTTACATTTATTTTATTATAGTTAAGCATAAATGCAAAAGCCAAAAGTAAAAAGCTAATATTTTACTACACAACTACATCACAGTCAGTATCTAGCATTGCTAAGCTAAAGGGGGCTAATGTTTGTTGTGACCAAGAAGCTTCAGACATTCTTGGATGGGGTATTAACTTTTGTATTTTATGTTGTAAAAAAAAAAAAAATCATTCAAAAAAACAGAGAGACGAGAGAGCCATGAAGTGCTAAACTACTGACCTATTTCCAGTTCTAGGACTCATTACTGCACCATTCTTTATTACAAACATGTCGAGCTGGCAAACCTACCCTGAGCACATATACTGTAAACAGCTGAGTCATAGTAAACGCACACCCACACAAGATGACAGAAGGAGCAGTGGAGGCATTACCTGTTCATTCTGAACTGGGTGGCGATCCTGTCGAAGCACAGCGCCACCAGAGACACGTGTGTGACGCACTTACTGGAGCTCGACGGTGACCCCTCCTCTACAGAAGCCTGCAGCAGGCAGAGGTTCACCTGCGGGAGAACAGAAACAAACAAAGGCAACTCAACCAAACTCAACTAGACAACACTGTGTGGTCAAATGTTATTATTCCCTATTTTAAAAACTGACACAGTGGATATAGATAGTGATAGTGCTGCCCACATGGAACTCTTTAAAAAGACACATTATTGTTCCACGGAGACGAATAAAGCAATGAAAACATGATTAACCTGTGTGTGAGCATAATATTCCCATATTCAAGATTGTTTGGGTATTTCTGAGTATGAAGATATACAGAGGGCAGTGGGAAAATCAATATTGCAAGAGAAAAAATGAGAATGATTATGTATCCACTATAATTTCCATTCAGTGTAGGGGTTGGCCATATCGCTCGAATAGGATCACAATATTGTTAGATAGTATGACACATTAAAAAAAAAAAACCCTAGGATGTCTGATCATTACCATCAATTGCAGACATTACCATCAGGATCATTGTAAAAACGATAGTACAAACACATTTTGAAGACAGATCGGTCGTTGGAAATGTATTGTTTATTACTAGGATTGACCAATTATATGCGCAGTCGAAATTTAGTTTTCCTTATTTGATATCCATTTTCTTTTATTTATTTACTCTCAATTGTATTATTATTGATTGAATTGACCGATTGGATAAATGTTAAGTTTCCTATAATCCAACTTCATGACGTTGTTGCTTTTATTTAAAATTTCAGTTCTTCTGCCCTATTACCGTAATATTAAGTGTATAGAGGCACCACAAAATATTGTAATGGGCTAGAATAGGACTTGTTTGGGCACGTGGAGGAATCAACTGCTTAACTCACTGAAGCCAATGCAGTTAGCACTAACAATAGTTTGCCTAATTGAATTGATTATTTATATTTTCTGTCCAATATTTTGTTATTAAAAGGATATTAAGAGGGTGGAATATAATAACATACCCTTAAGACAAGAAATTCCCATTTCTGGATTCTGTCTTTTCTAAGTTTGTATCTCTATGGCTGAATACACCTAATGTGATCATCTTTGGATCAAAGCATTAGCTAAATGAAATAAGGTTTACTGTAATGCAGACATTTATTACACCCCACCTATAAAACGCTGCAATATGTTGAGAATTCTTGATGCATCACTCACCATTAATTCAGTGAGAAAAATGGAATATGCTTAATTACACAGAGGTATTATTCGACACAAATGCTGACTGCACTGTATATGTAACGTTTGAATGTGAAATGCAGTGCTCGTGATTTGGCGCTGGCTCTCCTGGTTAGAGAGAGATTGAGGAACTCTTCTGGCCTCTCATTATTCCGGGTCAGGGGTCTCACCTTGGGGATGGACACGTTGGCTTGGAGGCCCTTTATTTTCACATTATCCGGTTTGACGGACAGGTCTGTCTGGCCGTGGGTGATGTTGAGGGAGCCGGGGGTCGTGCCCTCCGTCTTGGACAGCTTGGGCTCCTGCTTGCCTGTTTGGCTCTGTGCGGATCCAAAAACAGTTTAATCATCGGGCAACAATTGGGAAGCTGTTTTCTCTCAAATTGGAAAAACATTTTCAATATCCATGCTTCCATTATCTGTAAACGTTTTAATATAGAAAGATTTTATTATGCTTGATTAATAATTTACAATTTTCTGGGAATAACATCTTTCCCTTAATGATTTGAATGAACTCATTTTGAAAGTAAATTGCTCCTAAAACACATTAATTTAACTGCATTTCCTCCTACATGATGATTAATTATTAACAAGGGCCTCTACATTGATATGATTACTCTGGAAACCTCAACACATTACAAATATATATATTTCAAAATTAATCTCGTTAATAAGTTTGACCCAAACTCTCTCCCGTATCCCAGGACGATGGTTCCCATGGCAGTGAAAAGGCAAGGAAAGCAGAGGAACTGGCACATGCTAAATGTATTGCAGTGACTCGACATCATTAAGAATCATCAGTACCTCGGAGTAACCACACACCTAATCGTGACAAATGGTAACTGCACTCATATGCCAAATTCTTTGGTGTGAACGGAGAACACAGTTTATAGAACTGGCAGAGGAGTGGGAGATAGCGGACAGGGTCACCACTGTAGGAATGGATAGATGCTTTCAATATGATAGCGGCAGCAAGAATCTACCATAAAAGCATACGTCATGTGTAGTGCACAATTGCTTTTTGTTATAGCTGCTGTCGATACTTTAGCCAAGTGTCGGAAAATTGTCGGACTACATGCCGATAATTCGGAATGCTTGTTATAATAATGCACGCAATATGATAGCGGCAGATATAAAACCATACAAGCATATCCCCTGCGTAGAGCACATTAAACACAGGGGAATCAAAGCGGCTCTCTGCTTGTTGCCGTTCAGCAAAGTGTCAGAAAAGTAATCCAGAAAGTATGTTATAATAAAGCTTGCAATATGATAGCAGCAGAGATAATATGCGCTGTGTAGCGCACATTATACAGAGGGTGATCACAACGGTTCTCTGTGACAGTGGCTTTGTTGATGCTTTAGCTAACATTTCCAAATAATGCTCACATTGTGACAGCGGCAGAAAGTTAACCACCAATAATAGAGCATTAGCCCTGTGTAGCACCCATTATACAGAGGGTCATCACAGTCGCTCTCTGTGACATGTCGATGCTTTACAGATGTAGCACTGAATTTCAGACTGCAGCTTACAGCTTCCTGCCTGCGACCTGCCTAAGACCAGTATTGAGGAATGTTAAGCCCTCCCACTATTTTCCAAGAGGGCGTTGCCAGATTTTCAATTTCAGGTTTTAACCAGGAGATGGCGCTTCATTCACAAATACAGAAAGACAAGTTTCATGGACTTTCAGTTGTGTTTTGAAGAGCATTTGAACACATCAATATTTTAGATCAACTAAAGTATATCTAATCTTGTCATTCAATAATATATAGTCTTTATATATTAAATAATCATAATTATAACGTAAATGTTTACATTACACTTCTTTATTTGTTATGCTCATACTTTTACCTTTACAATCGTTTGCTTTAATATGCAGTATATTTTTTGTATATTTTTGTGTTTGCTTCCTCCTGCTCCCTTTCGGACACATACTGTATGATTTATTATTATTATTAATATGAATACATTATTAAGATAAGATAAGATGTCTTTATTGATTGAACATTTTAGTTTAGAATGTGCTGTCCCACGGTAATTCAGAAGGCTCACAGGTCACATTCCGACCATTATTTAAAACAATAGGTGCTTTCACACCGTCTACAGTTTGATTTGTATAGAGGGAGCTCTGTGGCTGAATGGCCAGCGATTAGGTGTGGCGCATTTATCATAGGTGATCAGAGCTAACTGCCTGCCGTCAGATTTCATTTAAAAAACAGATCTGATTTTAAGACTATTTCTGCGCTCATAAAGAATGATAAGAATAAGAATAATGCGTATTGAACTGGTTTCATTAATTAGTGAGTTTATTTAACACTAGAACCGCCAATCGGGTCAATTTGTGTGATGTGTGTTGTGTGTGTGCAATGTAACTTTTTTTCAGTCTAAATGAAGTGCTGACAAAGGTGAGACTAGAAATTATGTCCTTGTGGAACAAACCAAGGTACCATCGACGGCAGAGAAATCGTCACGCGCAGTTGAAGTTCGACTCTCCCACTCCTTCTACTTTTGCTTGTTCTTAGCCTTTGAGCTGGGGAGACTAGTGAGGAAAAGGACATTTTATGTCCAGGTCGGGTTGTGTATACGAGGTTACCCACAGTGTCCGGAACGGGATGTGATGTTAATTCGTACGTTTACAAATTAAATGTCGTAGGCCGCTAAGGTGATCGTGGCGCTCAGATATCTGCGTCCCTGCGTTCGGTAGGGATGACATCGCAGTGGACCTATGCTCAGATTTGTCTGTGTGTCGGTCCCGCCGACTTTCCCCGCGGGAAACTCGTAGTCTAGACCCTTGCTACGACTAACCGAACTTTATACAAAGCCGCCGTATCCAAAATGTCTATCGTTGTCAGTCGACACAACGCAACGTCGACGAGACCGAACTCCCGAGGAAAAGATGGCGGGCCTGCTACCTCCCGTCCCCATTATATGTGCGACGCCGGTCCGTCCTTTGTAACTGAATAGTCTTGAAAATACTGTAGCATTTTGTTTAAAATTTGTTCTAAAAATACATCTAATAATGTAAACCTGCTATGGTTGTATCATATAAAATGGAACAAGAAATTTTTATTTTTATTTTTATTTTTATATATAAAAAACCTTGTATAAAAAAATACTTAAAAATTACTGTTAGTTTGTACACCCTTCCTCCCCCCGCCGCGGGGAATTCCGCGGGGATACCTGGCCCGGCGGCTGACTCATCTGT